TTGGATTTCGCCTGTTCACGCAGTAAAAATCCAGCTGGAAAGAGGATTGAAAGCGGATTGAAAGCGGATTGTTCAGTGTGTGTGATCACAGCCAAGGAAGGCAACAAACCGAAGTCGAAGCGAATTATTCCTAATGGGGAAGAAAATACCATTCACCCTTGATGCTTTTACACCGGCCCTTTCCCCGAATCGCTTGAGACACTCGAGGTTCTCTTCTGCTCTGTGTTGTTCTCACAACAACCCTGTGGGGTAGGCTAAGGATGAAGGAGGCCGAGCTAGTGTTACCCAACCAGGACTCCCTAATTCTCTTTTTACACCAAGCAGCTCGATAGATTTATTTTTTTTAAGCCCTCGGTTATTCAAGAAAGCATTCCGACAGATGCGTTCTGGAGACGCTGCTCTTCCTCCTTGAGAACATTGGACAGCGAAAGATTCGACTGGAAGTTTTGTTTATTTACAGACCGCATTTATAGTCCGCCTTTCCCGCTGAGACTGGAAACTCACTGCATCTCACTTCGCGGTTCCAACCAAAGAGTTGAATAGAATTAAAAAAAAAAAAATCGGACTCCTTTTGTCTTGACGACAACCTAATATATTTGTGTGTGTGTGTGTCTGCCTGTGCCTACACACACGCACATAACATAGGCCCACCCTGACATTACAATTTCTTTTAGGGAGAGAGAGGTGTGATTTTTTCGTTTGTTTGTTTGCTTTCAATTAATCCTCTAACGAAAAGTAGCGAAACGGAACCAGGCGAAACCCTCTGGAGACCCGCAGGATGGAGGGAATGGCTTAATTCCCTCCGGAATTCAGACTTCAAAACGAAGAACCCTCTGGGGAGGAACGCGGCTGATGGATTTATTTAATATAGCCCTTGTTATAGACGCTGGCGACCGTCTTATTTTAGGGTTATTGTTTAAGGTTTTTTAAAAATATTTTTACTTCTTTCAGAGTTCCAGAGCCAGCGATTCCCCACCACCCACCCCTTAAAAAGGACTTTTTAAATTTTAATTAAAGATAGGTTCGCGATGCAAATATTCGTAATTAAATGAAAAGCTGTGTCTCTCCTTTGGGACGCCGGACCTTCTGTTTATACATAACACAGGCCTGTCCGAGCGGAAGGCTGAGAAGCCATTCTGAACAGGCCAATAGATTTCACTGAACCGAACTGGAGTTAACTCGCCATTCGCTAGGAAGCAGTCGAACTTTCTCTCCCTTTTAGTGACAGAAGTCACTTAAACAGATTTATGTGTGTGGGGGCGGGTCTCTAGTCGATATCTCCCCACACACACACACACACACACACACACATACTGTGTGGACAAATAATTTGACTGGATGGATAACTGGAGTTTCCTTTTGAAATCATTTTTTAAACGTTTGGAAAATAATAATAATAAACATAATTTATCCCCCCAGGAATATCTGAATTCTTTCCTCTTTCAGCAAAGTTTGACTTAGGTATCTCTTGCAAAAACCACCCTTGAGTACAGACCAATCTTTTGGGCAAAATCGGTTTCCACCCGCTGCGGGCAAAAAGCCCGTGAAATACAACTGGGCGTGGGTAAATTAATTAACAGTTAATTATAAGTCGAAGTTTGGAAGCGATTGCAAAACGCGGAACTCACGCATCAAAATGCAGCTATTGGGGAAGACTGTTTTTTTTTAAAAAATTCGATCCAATTGTACCGCGTATATCGCGATTAAATGAATATTATTGATGAGTTGCTTGAAGCAGACGTTTGCAGAAAACCTACTATAAACTATAAGGGGGTGGAATGTTCCGTTTTGGTTTGTTCACGGGTTTTTAAAGACGTGGGAATGGGGGGTTGCAATAAACGCTGTTAGGCATGGAAAGCTATGGAATTCTGTTCTTCACAATGGGCTTACTCCCGAGTAAACGAGCTGGAGCTCACTGTGTTGGGAGCTCACTGTCTCGAGCAGGGGTTCTTCTGAAAGTCAACCTCCCGAATTAACCTTCCAAGAAATATATATATATATGCGTCCAAGCAATTTTTAATTTTTCTAATAAGAGTGGGAGAAGACACAGAGATGTTATTTGCTTTTTGCGTTATTGTGGGGCTTTTTAAGACAATTGCCTTTTATCGGAGTGAATTTTTTTAACCCATTTCTGAAAAGACTTAAAAAAAAAAAAGCGCCAAGTTTTGAGTCCCAGAAGGAAGCCGTCCATTAAGAGCCTAACAGGTTAAATTTCCTTCTCTCCCGATGATTTCGCTAATCTGAAATCCATCTTTCCTTTGTCTGCGCGTTTGTCTGTCTGTCTGTCTCGCTGTGTGGTTTTCTCCCAACCCCGACCCGTCGATTCGAAAAGAGGACATTATTGGACTTTCCTTCTCCCTTCTCGCTTTCTCTCTCGCAAGGGGGGGGAATAAGGAGAGAGACGAAAAAAGAGAAAGAAAATCCTCACGACTCCTAAAGAGCGAGCCAGAGAGAGAGAAAAAGAGAGAGCCACATTTGAAATTCGGTACAAGCCTGACATCTACCTGTGAATTTGGGAACATTCCAGGAACGACCCTCTCCACCCCTCCGTTTGGATGGGCTGACAATAGCCCCCCACCCCTCAATTGTTTCTGCACGACGGAACCGCCTAGCGGGGCGACCGATTTAATCGCACCAAAACTTGGCCCTCCGAGTGCAGCGAGAGGTCTGTCGACCCGCGTCCCGCCCCCCGTTCCCCAAAACGGGGCGGGGGATATAAATACCTATCTATCTCCGTCGATGCGGATGGACAGAGATAGATGCAGCGGGGAATCTATAACTCTTTGAATTCTCCCGTGGATTCGCCTAATATGTATTCCCCCGTCCCCTTCTTCTCCTTGAGAACTCGGCAGACGTCGGCGCTCGTAATAAGAGGGAAATATGGCATAAAATCGAACTCATTAGGAAAGTTCACAAGCCGGCTGATTTGCATAAACCCCGACACTGATTGGAAGTAATTAGGTTAGGAGACGGGACTCGCCGGCCATCCTGCGCCTTTTGGCGCGTTTCCTCCACTACATCCCCGCGTATTTAGCTCTCCTGCGCCTCTTGGAGCGTCCCCCCGGCGTAATCTTCGTGGGGGCGTCGGGGCGTCAGCCCCCGCCGAAATTTTCAGGAAGGTGCTCAGCCTCCCCAGGGAGCCACCCTTGCTCCTCGCAAAGCAATGCCTCTGGCCCAGCCCCAGCCCCACCCCCGGGAAACTGGAAAGTCTACACCGTTGCCCCCCCGCCCCCGTTTCCACCTCTACCTATCGAGCTGGCTTTCCTGCCCCACTCAGTGTTCCCTCTAAGCCGAGTTAGTGTGAGCCAGCTCACAGTCTTTTAGCCTCCGGCTCACACATTTGTGTCTTAGCTCAGGCAGGATGGCTCCAGAGCCAACTCATCTATGCAGCAGCCAAATCGCTCGCTACCAACTTGAATGCCACAGTAGCCCACAAAGCAGAATTTTTGCTCACGAGACTCCCCAGCTTAGAGGGAGCGCTGCTGCCCCCTCTATCCTAACTCGCAAACTCGGCTGGCCCCCCCGTGTCCAAGAAGTTGAATGTCTCTCTTCCCGGAGATCGCTAGTCCTTCTAGCTCTCTAAGGGAGACTTGCTGCTAACTGCCAAAATCCCAGCAGAAGGTCTTTCCACGACTACCCCCCCCCCAAAAGAAAAAAAAAACCCTGGCTGTGCCCGGGATCGAACCTTCGACCTTCCGCGCGCTAAATCGGGCCACCGCCACCCCTGCCTTCGTAGAAATAATTCGCAAACTGAATTTGCTTTCCAGAAATACCCCCCATGGGGATCTGAGGTCTCCCCAGGCCGGTTCACCCGACCGTTCACTTTGGAAGTCGACATTTGGCTGTGATCTCCTGGCCACTCACAGAACACACCTCGGTTCTTCTCACCCAACACCGGAGCTAGAACGTCTCCAAGATATAGGGGGAACCCCCCCCCAACCTTTAGGTGGGAAAATAAAATCTTTCACGTCGGGAATAATGCTACCGATCATCGTTCAATAGGCATAAAAATTTAATTTAAACTTGTATATAGATATTTATATATTTATATATTTATAATTTTTTTTAAAACTATGAAACAATTTTTTCCTGGGGGGAGGGGGGAAGACACAGAAATGTATATATTTAACAACCCAACATGAATGGCTGTACAGGTGGTTGGATTCCATAATTTACTTCCAAGATATTGTGTTGCCGATTCAAATACAAAAAGAAGAAGAGCTACATTAAATATACAAGAGAAGGTTCCGTACAAATCGCTTCCTCCTTGTTCTTGCTTTTAAAAATGATGTCTTTTCCTCCCCCCCCAACATTGTATTTAAGACTCCCCCCATCTTCCTAAAATTCACTCCTCCATAAAATGAATTACAGCGCAATTCTATGCAGTTGCTCCAATTTAAAAACCATTGAGGTCAGTTTATTTAGACCGGAGTAACAATGCGTAGGATCGCGCCTTACGGTGCAATCCCCTCCCAAGTTCCGCCAGTCTAAATCCATCGAGGTCAATCCATTAAAACTGGAGTGACATTGCATAGGATCGCGGGTGACCATGCAATCCCATCCCAAGTCACTCCAGTTTAAACCCACTGAGGTCGATTTCACTTAGACTGGAGTAGTGCCATCGCACAGGATCGCGCGTTCCACTGCAGCCCTGCGCCCGGTCACTCCAATTCAAACCCAGTGCAAGCAATTCATTTAGATTGGAGAATCGACGCATAGGATCGCGCTGTCAGACTAGGAGCCTTACGGTTCTCTCTCTCTCTCTCTCTCTCTGAGCAGTGTTTTGAAATCGACAATAATAATAATTAAAAAAAACCCAACCGTCCAAAAATGAAGCGCGGATTGGTCTGCAAATAAATTAAAAAAAAATCAGAGAAGGAAGGAAGGAAGGAAGGAGGGAAGGAGGGGAAGGAAAAAACCCAACACGGTTCCAGTCCGATCCCGGTCGGCGGCGCGAGGCTACGCCCGGCAGAGGCCCGCGATTTAAATGTGGGACGTACCTTTCTTCAGCTCGTAAGGCGAGTCTTTGCACAGCTCGAGCTGCGATTGGCTTCGGAGGAGCTTCGTCTCCTTGGCCAGGGCCTCCGCCCGGTTCAAAAGCGTCTGGTTTAATCCGTTAAAGTGCGGGCTCCCGCTGCCCGCCGCGCCGGCGTTGTGGAGGTGTCCGAAAGAGCCGTAGTTCGTATAACCCGGGTAAAAGGGGCTGGTGTAGTAGAGCGGGCGGGAGAGGACGGCGGCGCTGTTGGGGAAGGGGCACTGGGCGGCCGAGGGCGACCTCGACGGCGGGGACTGGGCCGCGCCTAAACCCTGCGGAGCCTGCAGGGGCGCCTCGCCGCTCCCATGGCCGCCGCCGCCGCCGCCCTCCTTGGCTTTGTCCGCTGAGGTGGCGATCTCCGCCAGGGACCAGAGTTTAGGCTTGGAGAGCGCCGCCGCCGCCTGGGGGGGAGGCGGCTGCTGGGGCGAGTGGATGACCGAGGTGCCGT